CGAGGAGGGGGCCAGGCCCTGGGGTGCAAGGGCTGGCAGGGGTGTCGCAGGGCACGGGGAGGAGGACAGCCGAGAGGGGAGGGGGGCTGGGACTAGGTCCAGGGAGAGACACCACTGCCCAGGACAGGGTGAGAGCTAGAGGCAGATCCTGCCCCTGTAGTGCAGCCTGGCGTCCTGCTCCCCGCCCTCCCCATGTGGGGACACTTTTCCCAGCCTGAGGTGTCCTGCCCTCAGCCCTGGGTCTACCTGCAGGGGTTCCCACACACCTGCCTTCCCCCTGGGTCCCCTCATGCCCAGGTGAGCAGGTCACAGGCCTTCCTGGCTCCATGGGGCCTCCTCCCTCCTCAGCAGCCCACCTTCCCGGGTTCAGGGTTTGGGGGTCTAACATGCAGAACCTGCACCCACCAACCTGGGCCAGGGGTCTCCCCTTTGCTGGCCTCCATCCCCACTTTGTCCTGGGGTCACCTGAGGACCAGGGAGGTGGACAGACCACAGACGCCTGCCAGTGGGTACAGTGCATGCATCGGCAAGGACGGGGATGCCCACCCGTGACCTCGTGTTTGCACAGGCAAGACCAATGTCAAGGACGAGGAGCTGGACGCCATGCTGCAGGAGGCCTCGGGGCCCATCAACTTCACCACCTTCCTGAACATGTTCGGGGAGAAGCTGACCGGTGAGCCTCAGCCGTCGGCCAGTGCGGCAGTTTCTTCCAAAGTCCAGGCGTTGCACATGAAATCATATCTCTGGCAACGGCCTAGGAGCCGGCATTCTGGGACCCACATGTGTGGCTCCCACATCCCCACCCCCCCGCAGCTGGGAGCTCCACCCTCAGCCCCAGCCCTGCCACCTGCCGGCCACTGGTGGCCCCTGTCCCCTCACTGAGTGCTGCCCAGGCTCTGGGCCTAGGCGTTCCCAGTGAGCCAGAGATGAAGCTGTGTCTCAGACTCTTTTTTGGAAACTGCATTTGTAGTCAGTGGGGAGCTCTGCATGAATCAGTACAGAAATTGCCCTTTGAAAGGGGAGCACCTTATACGTTTGGTAAGAATATCTTCTGATAAGTACTCTTATGCTCTTGTATTTCACAAATGCTCATGTCATTTTATTTTTGCATGTATAAATATTTATCTCATTTCATTTGCAAAGCCATGTTTAAGGTAAGTATTGTTCTTATTTTAAAAAATATATTTTTACTGATTCAGAGAGGAAGGGAAAGGGAGAGAAACATCAACAATGAGAGGGAATCGTTGATGGGCTGCCTCCTGCACGGGGACCAAGCCCGCAACCCCAGCATGTGCCCGTGACCGGAATTGAACCCGGGACCCTTCCGTCCGTAGGCCGACGCTCCATCAGTGAGCCACACCGGCCAGGGCTGAATCTTTTTTCATAG